AAGTGGTAAGGGAAACGAGTGTATTATAAACGTTTAAACTCTTCAAATGCATGATATTTTTGTCGGAAAAGGTACCTTTTTTGAGTCCAAGTGCAGTTCGACTAAAATAAGTGCAATTCGGCCATACCCAAACAGTATTCTATAGGTTGAATTCATTTTTGGCCGAATACATTAAATTTGATATAGGTACTTTATATGTTTCAAATAGGTACCCAGTACCCACGAATAATATTTTTAAATTAATACGAAAAAAATAAAAAATTATTCTTATATATCTAAATATCTAAAATTAGAACATAAAATATACCTATTTTTAAAAAAACTGTTAAAGATTTTGAAGAATTTTATCAATAATTTAACTTAAAATATCATAAAAATGTAATATAGGTATAAATATAATTATAGCAATAATGATTGTGGTATGTGTGGGTGAATGTCGGCTGGAGTTGCATTTGTTATTCGTACAATTTATAAAATATTATGCTCACGGCGACGGCCGTGGTGCGAACAATGTGTATAGGTAAAATATAGGTAATTGGTAATACTTTTGAATTTTGATTATAATTTATTCTTAGGCCGTTAGCTGAAGAAACCGAAGCTACTAAAAATAAATATAAATAAGATATATTAGTATATTACTATATACCTAACTAATAGAAATATTACTATTTATAAATATATTACTAGTTTTACTATAGGTGTCTTATTGTCTCAGATTTTTAGAAAATACCTTAGTGTCCAGTGTACACAGGTCACAGACCCAAAAAATAAAAACCCATAAACCATTGTCAATACATACGTCATACATCGATTTGCTCAGAACCCAAAATATGAAATTGATAATAAATTAAATACGCATATTATATATTAATAAATAATAATTTATTTATTTAATTTTTATTTCACTAATTGAAATGATGATGTCTCAAAAATGCTGCAAGCTTGTGTAGAAGATACAACGTTCTATACACTATACCTAGTTTAACTTGTAAAAATTAGAATATATACAATATATAAATAAAACTAATCATAAAAATATTTAAATAAATATATATAATCCAAAACAAAAATGTCTAATAATAACTGCTGGTTATTGTAAGATAATATAACAATATATAGGCATTATTTCAATAGGTAAAAATTTCATTTTTATACTAATATATTTATTGTAGGTAACTGTTAAAATTATTAAAAATATTGATGTTAATACCAAATTGATTACCTACCTTACCTATCTAGTATCTACACATTTAGGTACCAATACTAATATTAAGAGGATCACTTTTCCCAAATTCACATATTTTGATACAATGATACCTAACCCATTTCTAATTTCTGTAGAATACGGTGTGTTATCTTTCTATTTGTGATATGGTTTAAAGAATACAAAATTTGGATTATTCTTAATAAAAAATATTTCGTTTTATTATTTGTCATGTTCACCACTAATAAATTATAAGCTTCATTAGCTATTTAGCTTTGTCTTCGTTTTTAACCACAACATAATTTTGATTGTTAAGTAGGTACTGAAATTATATTAATTCATTATTTTAATTCTTATTTAAATATTCATTTATCACTTTCCAGACCATTTTTGTATCTTTATTTAATATTTTTATTTTATTGAACTAATACACTAATACAAATTTTTTGCTAATTTAATTCAAAATTTTTATATTTGTAATATCATCATAGCATAGAACAATATGATCATAGATCAATTTATAATACCTGAGGTTTTAACAGTTTAAATATCTACTATTTATTGTTAAGGGGCCTGCAAGTGACCTGTTTTTTTGCTGAAAAACATGCCTTACAGGAAAAACTCTCATGCCTCGTAGAGTGTTCCGATTTCAATCATTTTTTTTTTTTTTTTGAAAGAGATACTTCTTACAGCGCGCATTGGACTTAGATTTTTAAAATTCTATTTCTAAACTATACAATACGATTTTGAATATGACCAATTTTTCACAAGATTTTGTTACTTTTATTATGTTTGTTTTAAGCGACGAAATAAAAATCTAAGTCCGATGGGCACTGTAAAAAATTATACTCTTTCTAAAGAGAAAAAAAAATTAAGCAAATCAGACCACTCTACGATGCCTGAGGGCTGAGATTTTTTCCCGTAAAGTATGTTTTGAGCAAAAAATCATGCATTTTATTTTTGGTTTGTGGTGCCGTTGACAATACGTGTGCACATGCAGTGCGTTTGTAGATAGCCCGGTACAGCATACAATCACTCACACTAATCATTATTGACAACTAACACAAATGCCATTGGCGCCGGAAACGAAATTGCATATTGCCTAAATATTGCGCCTTATTAAGACACACGAGCAGGCCCCTTAAGGCAGTCTACTTGAGAGCGCTAGTATCGTTTTTTTAAAATTCCGGATTTTTACGGTCCGGGATATAACGGCCCGTACATTTTAACTTTCCGGATTTTTACGGTCCGGGATATAACGGTCCATACATTTTTATTTTCCGGATTTTTACGGTCCGGGAATATACGGTTTACAGCTTTCCGGATTTTTACGGTCCGTGATATTACGGTCCGAATATTTACATTCCGGAATCGTACGGTCCGTTCAATTATTTTCCGGGATTTTACATGCGTCCATTAAAAGCATGGTTATTTTTTGAGAATTGGCGGTGAAAAGATTGTGCTTTTCACAAAGCATTTCACCACTCACTGGAACGTGTAAACGTCTTTGTTGAATAAACCACATGAAAACTGCACTCTCAACATTTGGATTCTCTGGTTGTTTTAACGTTTTACGCTTACCTGGACCGTTTTCCGTTTTACTGACAAACTTCTCTAATTTTTCCTTGTTCTTTTTAATATCACTGATGGTAGATACACCTATACCAAATTGTCTTGAGATGGCACTGTAGCTGGTCCCCTTATTAATTAACTTTATTACTTCTAACTTATCCTGTAATTTTAATGTAACATGCTTACGTGGAGCCATTTCAAGAAAAACACGCAAATAAATGTTCCAAATACGTACGATCTTTATGTACACACAATCGACACACAACTGACAAACGTAATCAACGTTCATATCTAACATCTCATATCTAAACGACGTACACGTGCGATGTTCTAACGTAATCGACAAATTTTATTATTGGGAAATACCGGCGATGCGATAATTTTCAAGCTCGTTCGGATTACCGCGTCTTTCGGATTAGCCTGTGTTCGGATTATCGAGACCCTACTGTAAATAGGAATGAAACGCATTATGATTAATGATAAATAAAATAGGGGGCGAATATTTTAAATTTTGCCCCGGGCGCCAAATCGTAACGGCACGGCTCTGCCAGGGATCAGTAACCAGTGCTATATTATGTAACCATTATGATAAATTTAAAATGTTGTTTTTATATTTTATAGCTGATAAAGCCTAGCTGCTGCAGGCCGCGGCTGGCTATAGTCGTTCACTGACACTCGGTATTCTGGTGGGAGTGATGATGGAACACTTTTTTTTTCTTATAGTATTGTTTATCTATCTTGTTATTATTGATTATTATTTATTACCGTTATGGGTATTGTTAAATTGAGATAAAATTTCATTTTGAATTCTGGTTTTTACAGTTGGGTTGTTAAATTGCCCAGTAGCAGTAAATTTAACGAATATTTCAGCATTAATAAGTCGTAAACGGCTTACTCAAATTAAATTCTGTAAACGTTAACATTTTTTTTTTCAGTATGTTTATAGATTTTCGTTATCGAAAATAGGTATTGCCATCTTAGATCATATACTATGGATGGAGCCACTGCGTACTATAGCAATACAAAAAGTTGAAGCCGATATTAGCCGAGTCACCGAATTAGGTGTTCGATATGCGCATGCGCAACGCAACCTCTCGCATATTTATCAGCTGGTGATTATAATATTAATATTAAACGAGTTGTTTCGCGCATGCGCATATCGATCACCTAATTCGGTGACTCGTCGCTAATATCGGCTTCAAAATAATATACAGTGGCTCCATCCATAGTATATGATCTAAGATTACCATTTGAAAATCGAAAGTTGATAGTGTTTTATCAAATAAGGGAGGAAGTTAAAATTTTCAAAATTGTAACACAGTGTAAAATAGTAAAACCAAGAAAGTTTAAAAAAAAAATTATTTTAAAATTACTAATACTTCCCGAGATATTAACTGGTTCACGATAAAAAAAAATCACCCTGGTGAGTATATATATATATATAAGTAATAAGTATATAACCAACCAATGACATTGTTCTAGTCACTGTTCACAGCTATATAAATAAGCCTTTAATTGTAATTATACATATAGATAGGAACCTAAATCATATTCAATTTTATAAATCCAATCCAACAAATTACTAAATATAACTAATAACTTTGGGATGAAGAATTCTAGTATACTTATAATTTATAAAACTCAATATATGGATTAACTTATACACAAAAAATACAAAATATATGCTCTAAAAAAATGTATAATACGAATTTCAGTAATTAAATTATACAATTAATATGAAAAAGATAGTTTGATTATTTACTTAATATAAAAACTTGAAAAATTTATAGTAAATTTTTTTATAAAATAAAATCAAAAACATTTATTAATATTTTTACTTGAATATTGAAACTCAATTATGCTGGTATAATAAGTATTTATTATTATAATAATAGAAATTCATTTTGGCCACGGAATTGATCTGATTCTGCTTTACCAAATAAGTATTTTGTTTTTTTGATCATGGTTGGCATAAGTTTGAGTTTAATTTTTGATACGAAATTTATATTTTATTCTTCATAACTAATTGTTACTATAGATTTATTTATACGCATAAAAAAAATTAACGTATTTTATTACACAGCTGTTCAAATTCTAAACATACTGTAATTTTGTCTGGTAAAAAATATTACAAACATATTTTATTGTAGAAACCAAATACAACGATTAAAACAAATTCCTTCAGTAGTTATAGATTGAACCTAATATAGTACGTTATGTCAAAATGTTGCATATGAAACTATTTAATTTTATATTAATATTATTGTGCATTAAATCGAACATTTTTTCAGTTTTATCAAAATTATCAAAATTAGAGAATGATGTCAACAATGCAGTACGTTATAGTATATTTCCCGTTGGTGATTTGTCATATAATATAAAACTGCGTCAGTACATAATTCTGTATGGATATTTGGTTCCATCTGCAGCTACAGATTCAAATACAGATATGTACATGAGTGTATTTCATATTTATACGAACTGTTCATTTGCTGAATGGCTTCAGAATAAACTATTTAAATTTATCGAAAAATTCCCAATATTTTATCAATTGAAATTTCAAAACACTAAAAATAATGAATTTAATAGACCTTTTGTAAGACCGAATATAATTGATAAATTAATTGAAATCGACTCTTTTGTTAAACGCTTCATAAATATTTTACTTCACAACTTTTTACATCTCGCTGATTCCAGAGATTATGATACGTCGTTATTAAGAACAATGTTATTACTACAATTTAGAATTCACTTTTTGACGCTCCTTGTAGATACCAAACAACCACCATCAGATGATGTAGTAGTTCGTTCAATTCTTGAAATAATGAACTTAATTCAAACGTTCATGGCCACGAATTGTGATGTTCACACTTATAATAAAAAATATTATAAAGATGATAAAAAACATTGTATTGATGATGAATATTTTATTAAATCATCACATTTCTTCGATTTCTGGATAACTAAATCAGCTGACACAAATGAATTCATTGAAAAGATTTTCAAACTTATAGCCGAAATGGGTTTAGAAGATAGTAATAAATATTGTAATACAGATCAAATGTTGTTGGTAAATATTGTGGCAGAGAACCCAGATCATCCTGTTTTATGGGAGATTTCTCACGCAGTAGTTTATACAAATTCTAAAACAATTAAGATTTACCAAATACTAAACAAAATTGAAAAACGTGAGTGTGACCTTGAACTAATATTATGGTATCAGGAATCAATTTTTAATGCAATAGTGAAATTGATATACAGTAAAATAATAACAGCCTTGCAACAAGGAACTTCTAAGCCGGAAGAGATTGTTGAGTCAATACCAAAATTCATTGAATTGCCAACAGATGTCACTGATTATTTTACGAGCATAATATATGATATAGATGAAGAGGATGAACAGATTAATACCGATGATATTAAAGAAAAATTGATTAAAAAGATTACTGATCTTCGTGACTCGATTAACAATATAATTTTAATAACTTATAATACAACAAAAAATCAAGACGTATCTGATTTAGTTGAATTTACAACATATATGAGATCAAACAGTGAAAAGTTTTACTGTTATATTTCGGTGTGTAAATTCCTACGAAATGAATTCACTAAATATTACATACCATTTATGAGGGATCTGTCAAAAGTCGAACACATTGTGTACGAGAATGTTAAAATCGATGAATTCGTTCGATCCGATGTAGATGGTGAACTAAAAAATAGTAGCAGGTGTCAATATGTTAGAGATTTGTACAGTCTCTGTCTCGAAGCAACCACATTTTTAAAAATGACTTATGAACAAGATGATTTGATACACGAATACTTAGAGGAACTAAATACTATTTTGTCAACGATTAGAAAGTGGTCCGTTGAGGTGATCGAACGTTGTACGTACAAGGGCTGCGGGGAGCTTTTAAAAGTGTCATACCATATTTACGTTGTCTTGAATCCAAAGCACAAGGATCATTTTAAATACATTCAAGCGCCGATGTTCATGTCATTGATAATGTCTATTTTAAATACCTATGGTATTGATCACTGTAGTCCACCAAAATTCAATTTCTTGTTATTTAACAGTTCATATCTCGAGGCCATAGGCAATGATGCTGTACTTAATAAACGTTTAAATTCATTTGTGCAGAGCCTTGAGGTTTACCGAAACATACCGATAGCTGCAAACTATTCAACTTTTTTAAACATCGAATTTTTTTATAAAACATTTCTTGAAGAAACGGCTTTGTTCACTAAAAACAAAGACAAGGTCAGTTTTTTTTACAAAGGTGAAAGGAAGTACATTCATGAAATTTACAATAACATACGTGCAATTATTTTGGACCCTTCGCATGTGTTCAAATTGTATGATATATATTTCAAATTCATTCTTTGTTCTATATTTTACAAAGTGTGGGTTTTCGCTAATTACTCAGTCAAAAAAAGTCAGCAACAATCGAATGTATTACGGGTTGATGATTGTGATGACTTTCAAAATCATTATAATATGTTTCTTAATGTTGAAAATTTTCCCTCAAATTTATCGATTTTTGTGTCTAATGTTGATCGATTTTCTACGATGGTATATAATCTATGTTATATAAAAGCAGAGATAATCAAAAATAACCACAAAAAAAGTAAGTCTAAAGATAAAGTACCACAGTTCAAAGATTCTAGGACAGTAAGCGATTCAGATGAGCTGTATCTTAAAATATACAAATTAAAAAACAATATGAATAAGCAATTTGAAGAATTTGGTATGTTCATAACAAAAATATTAGAAGAGATTCTGGAAACGCCATTAACCCTAAAGGACAAATTTAAATATACTCTTCTTCGAAAAACCAAAAAAACAGAATTGATAGAAAAAATTTTCGGAGATATGACTGTGAAGACCTGCGAACTAGTCAAGGCTGCTAACAATATGCTCTCAGAACTCATAATCAATATTTAATTGAAGGTAACAGGTTTATTTTGAATATTATGCATTATTTTTAAAAACTTACTACCTAACAATATTTTTTACCTTTCTCGATTACAATTATTTTTCTTTCTCTACTCCCCATATAGTTGTAATATAGGTACAAATACGAAAACATATTTTATTATTTTAAGGGATATTATGATATATTAACATTACATACAATATAGGAGAATGACAGTTTATGTTAAAAATTTAAATTTGCATCTATTATTTGATTTTGATATCCAATGTGTTATTTTCATTTATTGTTTTTAATGTTGTCTAAAAATGTTTTGTCTGTATATTCTAATTATTTACCAATAATTAGAATAATTAACCGATGTTCATAAGATCTGAATAAAAATTAAAATATACAAATAGGTTCTAGAGCTAGGAGTTTTGCATTTTTTTTCTTTAAGTGCAGCATTTTTGTGTATTTTTTAGGTTTAAAGTCCCACCTCTACGATATAACCAACCAATGGCATTGTTATAGTCACTGTTCACAACAATTTAAATAATCCTTTAATTGTAATTATATAGATAGGAACCTAAATCATATTCAATTTTATAAATCCAATCCAACAAATTACTAATAAGTAATAACTTAGGGCTGAAGAATTCTAGTATACTTATAAAACTCAATATATGGATTAACTTTTGCACAAAAAATCCAAAATATATGCTCTAAAAAAATGTATAATATGAATTTCAGTACTTAAATTATACAATTAAAAGATAGTTTGATTATTTACTTAATATAAAAACTTGAAAAATGCACTACCGTAGTATTCTTTTCATTTTCTTCTCATTCACATGGTGAATTAGTATTTTGGAATCTTAAAAACTTTATTTTCTTTATTTTTCATGCGATGTCAGGTTAATATTTAATATTCACATCAAACGCTTTCTATATCTAAAACTAACACAATTCATTGTTAATTATGGTATTTGTATCTGGGGTCAAGCATTTGAATCACATACATATCGGCTTAAACTCACACTTAATAGGTTAACTAAATTTTTACTATTGAGACCTATGTATTATAGTAATGATTTTGATTATTTAGTACCTAATGTATCATACTTTCAAAATTGATATTATAGAAATATCCTACTTAGCTTATGCAGGTTTAAGCATAATCTAGCTAGAGTTAATCACTCATATAATACTCGATATAAAGACAATATTAATATTTATGTACCTATTTCTAATAAACAATTAGGTTTAAAAAGTTCTATATCCACAGCTTCTCTGATGTGTAGACAGCTTAATATTAATATTTATAAATACAGATATATTTGTATATTTAAATCTTTTCTGAAAACTTTGTATCTCACATATTTAAATTTGTGATAAAACGTGTTAATTTATATAAATTTTGTGATTATACTGTTTGCTATAAATGCTTTTCTTTTTTTTCTACTAGTTTTACTAATGTAAATCCTATAATAATTTGTTTATCTTTTTATTACTATCTTGTATTGTACTCAAACTTTTATACCCCCAAAAACAAGCTTAAGCTTAAAGGGGAGTTGCAAACATGTATCTTACATATTTCTTCGAATATATTAGAATAAATGTATATATTGTTTTTGCTAAATAAAATCATTACTATTATTATAATTATTTATTATATTCACCGAAGAAAAATTTTAATTAATAATATGAATACCTAAACAAATGGGTTCAAAATAAGTAAATTCATATATATAAAAAAAATAAATATATATTTATAAAATAAAATCCAAAACATTAATTAATATTTTTACTTGCATATTGGAACTCAATTATGCTAGTATAATAATTATTTATTATTATAATTAGGAATTAAAGTTATAAATTCGTAGTTCATTCAATTCTTGAAATAATGAACTTAATTCAAACGTTCATGGCCACGAATTGTGATGTTCACATTTATAATAAAAAATATTATAACAAATTATTATGATAAAAAACATTGTATTGATGATAAATATGTTATTAAATCATCACAATTCTGGGTAACTAAATCAGCTGACACAAATGAATTCATTGAAAAGATTTTCAAACTTATAGACGAACTGGGTTTAGAAGATAGTAATAAATATTGTAATACAGATCAAATGTTGTTGGTAAATATTGTGGCAGAGAACCCAGATCATCCTGTTTTATGGGATATTTCTCACGCAGAAGTTTATACAAATTCTAAAACAATAAAGATTTAAAAAGTATTACAAAAGTTTGAAAAACGTGAGTGTGACCTTGAACTAATATTTTGATATCAGGAATCAATTTTTAATGCAATTGTGAAATTAATATACAGTTAGATAATAACAGCCTTACAACAAGGAACTTCTAAGCCGGAAGAGATTGTTGAGTCAATACTAAAATTCATAGAATTGCCAATAGATTTCACTGATTATTTTACGAGCGGAATATATGATACCGATAAAAAGAATGAACGGATTAATACCGATGATATTAAAGAAAAATTGATTAAAAAGATTACTGATCTTCGTGAATCGATTACTAATATAATTTTAGAAATTTATAATACAACTGAAAATCAATACGTTTCTAATTTAGATGAATTTACAACATATATGAATTCAAACAGTGAAAAGTTTTACTGTTATATTTCGGTGTTTAAATTTCTACGCAATGAATTCACTAAATATTACATACCATTTTTAAGAGATCTATCAAAAGTCGAACACATTGTGTACGAAGATGTTAAAATCGATGAAATCGTTCGATCCGATGTGAATGATAAACTAACTGATAGTAGCAAATAGCAGGTGTCAATATGTAAGAGATTAGTACAGTATTTGTTTCGAAGCAACCACATATTTAAAAATTACTTATGAACAAGATGATTTGATACACGAATACTTAGAGGAACTAAATACTATTTTGACAACGATTAGAAAGTGGTCCGTTGAGGTGATCGAACGTTGTACGTACAAGGGCTGCAGGGACCTTTTAAAAGTGTCATACCATATTTACTTTGTCTTGAATCCAAAGCACAAGGATCATTTTAAATACAACCAAGCTCCGATGTTCATGTCATTGATAAATTAGATGAATTTACAACATATATAGATTTAAACAGTGAAAAGTTTTACTGTTATATTTCGGTGTTTAAATTCATACGAAAAGAATTCACTAAATATTACATACCATTTATAAGAGATCTGCCAAAAGTTGAACACATTGTGCACGAGGATGTTCCAAATGAAGAAATTGTTCAATCCTAAGTGGATAATAAACTAACGGATATTAGCAGGTGCCAATATGTAAGAGATTTGTACAGTCTCTGTCTCGAAGCAACCACATATTTAAAAATGACTTTCGGCAAAGAAGATGCTGTGAGGAACGAAACGCCAATCAATCAAGTATAATTTTGACAAAGATTAGAAATCGGTCTATTGAGGTTATCGAACGGTGTTACGTACAAGGGCAACAGGGCCCTTTTAAAAGTGTCATCCCATATTTACGTTGTCTTTAATCCAAATCACACTGATCATTTTAAATACAATCAACCGCCGATGTTCATGTCATTGATAATGTCTATTTTAAATAGCAATGGTATTGATCACTGTAGTATACCAAAATTTAATTTCTTGTTTTTGGACAGTACATATTTCGAGGTTATAGGCAATGATGACGTACCTAATAAACGTTTAAATTAATTTGTGCAGATCCTTGAGGCCTACCAAAATGTCTTGATAGTTGAAATTTACACAACATTTTTAAATATTGACAATTTGTTTAAAACCTATCTTGAAAAAACCGATTTGTTCACTTAAAAACAAACACATGATCAGTTTTTTTTACAAAGGTGAAAGGAAGTACATTTTTGAAATTTACAAGAACACAAGTGCATTTATTTGGAACTTTCACATGTGTTCAAATTGTATGGTATATATTTCAAATGTGTTCTTATTTTGGTAATTTACAAAGTTTGGCGTTTCGTTTATTATTTAGTCATTGCAAATCTTCTTAAAAAGAATCTATTGCTGTTTGATGATTGTGACGACTTTCATCATCAATATAAGATGATACTTAATATTGAAAATTTTCCCTCAAATGTATTGATACTTGTATCTAATGTTGTTTAATTTGATACGGTTCGTCCGGGTGGACGACCCGCGTCGTGAATAAATAACACACGTGTCGTTTATGGTAATCAGTTTCTCTATTTCTATCTACAGTGTATTATATATTTACAGTATGGGATTAAGTAAAGCGTCGATTTGTGTCGACCAGACTTATATAAGTGGGTCGACACAATCGGGGGCGCTTGGGTTATGGTCGGGCAGTTGCCGGACCCTAATTACATATTAGGAATTGTGTGATATGTATTATTATACAATAGTTATCGGGCAAGGGAGCAGGCCGTCGTCGGTACAAACTTAATTAAGTGGTACTCCGACGACGAACCTGACTCGGATCGAGCAGCTTAAGTAAGCGTCGAAGTCGATTAGGTGGTGGCCCTGAAAAGGGCCGTTTATTGGAATAACGCCGGAGATTGTTAACTGATCGGCAATATCATGGACTTGGTCGGTCGACGGCGATTGATGATCGTATTATGGTTCTTATCCGTGAATCGACGTCGTCTGTGCTGGACTGCTTGTCGACACGGGGTCCTATTTCCGTCTGATCGGTATCCGCGTGTATGATACGTACTGACAGTGCCGGCGTTGTCGATCGAACGATGCTTGCGGCCGTGGAGCGGCGTATCGTCGTTAGTCGGTGGTTGAACGGCACTTACGGCCGTGGAGCGGCGTTGTCGTCGGGGTTCAGTGGTCGAACAGCGCTTGTTGCTAGGGATGTCAAAAAAAAATATCGATATATCGATATTTCTTGAAAAAATATCGATATTTATATATCGATATTTTTGTGATATCGATAATTATTGTCTGGTATCGATAATTTTTCATCCATGAATTTTTTCCATGAACCCATAATTTAATTTTCTCCGTATAAAGTATTTTTCTGTGGATTTGTG